AATTCCGGCTGCCTCCCACGCTGAATGCAATTTCCTTTCTCCTCCTGGCCTGCCCTTCTGACTTTTACAGATTTGGGATAAATTGGGTTGGCCGCAGGAAAAAAGAGAAATAAATGTGCAACTTTATTATTATTATTTTTTACTGTTGTTGCTTTGAATCATAGTAACTCTCCAGCCTCCATTCTAAGTGGAACATAAATGGAAATTATTATTATTATTATTATTTTTGGACCTTACAGGAACTCTATGGGGAGATGAAGAATGACTGGTCCGAGGAGCATCGTGGCACAGCTGGCATTTGAATCTAGGTGCCCTTCCACACTATGCAATTATAGCACTACGATTCTGTTTTAACGCTTGTGGTTCCAGCCTAGAGAACCCTGGGATCTGTAGTTTTGTAAAGTACTTTTAAAATATGTAGAGCGTCACCATGACATAATGGTTTGAGCATTAGATTATGACTCTGGAACAATGTTGGATTATGATTCTGGAATGGGATGCAAGGAGACCAGGGTTCAAATCCTGGCTCAGTCGTGTAAACCCACTGGGTGACCTTGGTCAAGTCACACACTCTCAGCCTCAGAGGGTGGCAATGCCCTGCCTGCTTGAAACTTGCCAAGAAAACCCCATGATAGACTTGCCTTAGGGTCACCATAGGATGGAGACAATTTGAAGGCACAACAACAACAAGTCAAGAACCAATTAATGTCGCAACCGGCTGTATGGTGTGATGTCCACTTGGCAAATGGCTATGTCCTAATTTTCCTGATGATGATGATGAGGATGATGCATTTTCTTGGCCACAGCAGCAACCCCATGGTCCTGTGTTTGTACGCTAACCGGAAATGGGTCATGCGTTCCAGAAAAAAGTCCAGTCTGAAGTCTGTTTATAAAAGTCAGAAAAGGCACATGGCTCCGACTCAATGGGATCTGGGTTTAATGACATTTATTTGGAAAGATTTTAACGAAACAAAAGGAAGGGGTGAGGAGGAAAGAGGAGGAAGAGGGAACGCTGTGCGTAAATGAGACTGGCTGAACTTTGCACAGAGCTTCTATTTAATATTAAGACATGTCAAAGGGCCAAAGTTGGTGGCAGTAGGCTTGCATGGGTCTGATCCCTTCATGTCTGTCTGTCGGGGATGCTTTAATCGGGAGTTCCTGCATGGCAGAATGGGGTTGGACTGGATGGCCCTTGTGGTCTCTTCCAACTCTATAATTCGATGATTCTATGTACAATGTGAGGTTTTACTACAAAGGTGAAAGAAGGTGAATTTTTCTACAGGTTGAGTCTCCCTTAACCGGAATTCCAAAATCTGAAATATTCCAAAAGCCAACACTTTTTTCATGGGTGGCTGAGGTTGTGATGCCTTCACTTTCCGATGGTTCGGTGTACAGAAACCTTATTTCATGCACAAAATTATTAAAAAAGATTATATAAAATTACCTTTAGGTTCTGTATAAGGTGTACAGTTGGCCCTCTGTTTTTCCGGGGGATTGATTCCGGACCCTCCGGAAAAAAACGGAGACTTGCCAGTATTCAAGCCCCATAGGTTTTAATGGGGTGCGCCCCATTGATTTTAACAGAGGTTGCCCCTCCATGAATATGCAAAACCATGGACCTCAAGTCTGTGAGAACAGAGAGGTGACTGTATAGGAAACATAAATGAATTTTGTGTTTAGATTTGGGCCCTTTCTCCAAGATATCCCATTACGTACCTATACACAAATATAGGTATTCCAATAGTCCCAAGCATTTCAAATAAGGTAGACTCAGCCTGTACTTAGCTCAACATCAGAGGTGCTAAGCATCAGCTCTGTTCTGGTGCCACAACAAACTACAATTCCCAGAATTCCATAGTACTGAGTCATGGCAGTTCAAGTGGTGTCAAACCAGATTATTTCTGCAGTGCAGATGCAGCTTTGGATGACCAAATTACATCAGTATGAACTCAATCCCAAACTGCTGATCCGTAACCTTTCTAATCTGTCTGTTTGCAAAGTTGTCTCCTATCTCAAGCTTAGTAGAGAAAGAGAAAGCAAGAATATGACTCTGTTTTGTGGTTTCCCCCCCTCCCTTATAACTTGATTTTAATGAATTCCTGCTCTAGGGCTTTAATAAAAGAGCAATTTATTACAAGCCGTCATAAAATAGCAAGTCAGGTTGGGGATTTCAAGAGGCATTCCTTTCTGATTTGTGTTCCAGTGGATTTTTGTTCAGACTATGAATGAACAGCTGATATGTCGGAAGTCGGATGTTTCCAAACCGGAGCTTGGAAGAGATACTTGCGGTGGTCTATAAATGCTAAGATGCTTTGGCCAAAATGATCAATCCCCAGAATTCTTCAGTTCCCAGAATCCCTCATCTGCAAAACCAGCTGGCTAGGGGATGCTGGGAGTTGTGGTCAAAAAGGGACATTTCCAAGCTCTGTTCAAGACCTGCCTATCTGGAAAACCAGATGTTTTAAAGGTTTTGCTTCCTTCTCTGGGGAAATCACACCTTTCCAGTCCATCCCTCCCACTCACATTTCTAACTTCTCTTAACCCAAACAGCTTTGCAAGAACACATGAAGCAATCTATTCTTTCCTTCCTCCCCTTTGCGGATTGGTCTTTCTCTCTCTCTTTACTCCAGAAAGTCCAATGGACATGACAAGTCTCCTGCCTTAATGTCCTCATTGAGATACATACAAATTTCACTCAGCGGGCAAGATACCAAGCTGTCTTTGTGGGTAGGGTTGCCACATTCCAGTCCCTCATATCCAAGCATTTAATTTGAATATGATGCAAATTATTATAATTATACGTATTATTAAATTGCATTCTGATTATGCAAATCCAATGCATGAATCATTGGATTTGGCCTGTCGGAGAAAGTGTGGAGGGTATGGAAGAATAAGGTGGCAATGGTACCCCTTTGCAGTAGCAATCGGTGCCATTCTCCTTGCTTCACCACCATTGCCACATTTTAACATACCCATCAGCCTGAGACAGAGGAGAAATCTGGGATTTATTGCTTCAACTGGGCCAGGACATTTTTTGGTTCCTTCAATCCGGGATTTTCCAGGTTTTCTGGGACAAATGGCAACCCCATCTGTGGACCTTCTCTGCAAGATGTGGATCACTCTCCATTAAATTGCGGTAGGAGAGCCAGCATGGTGCCGTGGTTTGAATGTTGGATTACGACTCTGTAGATCAGGGTTCAATTCCTTGCTTGGCCATGAAAACCCTTTGTTTGACTTTGGGCAAGTCACACATTCTCGGCCCTAGAAAACCCAGCGATAGGTACCTCTTTTGCTCTGCATGGTTCATATCTCCTTCCATGCAGCAATGCCCTTTTTTCCTTTGTTGGTGTTGTGTTGCTTTTTTTTGCGTGGGAAGCCACTCTCAGCATCCATTCCTTCCCCAGATATTTTTCATTCCTGCCAGGAGCCAAACACCGTGCAGAGGAGTAATAAAACCACTTTATTTATTAAATCGAAGAAGGTTCTGTAAAAACAGGAGGAGAACTCGGTCCAGATGTTATCTGTTTCGAGGGCTTTTGAAATCTCAGAGGCGGAGAGGTAGGAAAAAAACCAAGGGATCTCTAATGCATTTTGCTAGAGATGGGGAACGCTCCCGGGTGAGTTAACCTGGACTTGTTTAGAGAGAACTCATCATCTTATTTCGTGGCATGCCCACCCCCAGCAAGCCAAGAAGCTACTGAAGTATCTATAGCTGTAAGATTTAATTTTATTCCTTTCCTAAATAACCCTCCTGCATTTCTTTTTTATTGCTTAGGGCAAAATTATAGGTATACTGGGCCAGCTTGGTGCCTGCTTTGTGAATGCAATAAAACATTGGAACATTGAACTGTTTAGTTTGGTTACTTGCTTGCAAATATTCACACAACCAAGAAGATATACTGGTTGGAGGTTGGACATTGACCTGCAAATTATTAACAAGAAATCAGATAGAAAGAGCCTCTGGCCCCATCCGCACAAGCCAGAATAAAATGTCCACAGCATTGAGCCATGTGTATTCCTGCAGTTATGAAATTGAATCTACACTGCAGACATAATGCAGTTTAACTCCACTTTAAATGCCATGGCTCCACCCTGCAGACTCCTGGGATTTGTAGTTGGTTTGAGTATTGGACTATGGCTCTGGAGACCAGGGTTCGATTCCCGGCGTGGCCATGAAACCTACTGGGTCACCTTGGGCAAGTTGCATGCTCTCAGCCTCAGGGGAAGGCAATGGCAAACCTCCTCTGAACAAATCTTGCCAAGAAAACCCCATAACAGGTTTGCCTTAGGGTCACCCTAATAGAAAGCACACAACAAGAACAAGCCAAGATTTCCAGTGCCTCCCAAAACTACAGATCCCAGGAGCCCATTCAAACAGCTCTTACTGTCAAGATGTTCTTCCTAAGATTTAGGTGGAATCTCTTTTCCTTTAGCTTGAATCCATTGCTCCGGGTCCTAGTCTCTGCAACCTCGCTCCATCCTCAATATGACGTCCCTTAAAAGGATGTCACGTCGATCATTGGTGTCCCAATTTTCCTTTGCCAATTCGTCAAACCGGTAGCCCCGCTTAGTGGTGAAGCTGGTCTGGGAAACTGAATATCAGCTTGTGTCGGTATGGCTTCAACTCAACGCCACCCTCACTTTCTTCCACAAAGTTCCTGAAGGAACAGCTTGAACAAATTAGCCCTCTGGCACTTTGTAATGAATGCTAATAAACACCTTATGGAGCTATATAAGGCTCCATGCAGGCAGTGGGGAAGCCTAAGGGAGCCCAGACCCGCGTACGGGCAGAAAATGGCTGCATCTCGTGCCATATCTTTTGAGTTTTAGCCCTGGCCTCAGTTTGTTATCTGGTGTGCAGTGCCAATGGTTAACCATGCGCATGCTCCAAAATACAGTCAGCTCTCCATAGCCATGGAATTTTATCCAAGGATTCAAGCACCTATGGCTTGAAAATATTCCAAGAAATATAAATTCCAACAAACAAACCTTGATGTTGCCATTTTGTGTAGGGAACACCATTTCACCATGCCATTGTATTTTATGGGACTTGAGCATCCATGGATTTTGGGATCCACGGGGGATCCTGGAACCAAACCCCAGTGGATACCAAGGGTCCATTGTACTTACCTTCCAACTTGTCCAACTACTGTACTGTACAGTCTTGGTATCCACTGGGGTTTGGTTCCAGGACCCCCAAAATCCATGGATGCTCAAATCCTATTGAATACAAGGACATAGTAAAATAGTGTCCTTTCTATAAAATGGCAAAATCATGGTTTGCTTGTTGGAATTTATATATTTTAAAAATATTTTCAAGCTGTGGATAGTTGAATCCATGGGTACAAAATCTGCGGATATGGAGGGCTGGTTGTAGAAGTCCACCAATGGTTGTGCTGGCTGGAGCGACTGTCCAGCAACATCTGGAAGGTCACACAGCTGCCAACCCAGTTAAAGATGGCAGTTAAAGTGGTGTCAAACTGCACTAATTCTGCAGTGCAGATTAGACCGTTGTTTTCAGTTTGCGAATTTATTGTACCAGCCAAAGGCCACACCAAGCACAATATAGCTAAATCTGTATGGTCATAAGTGCAGTTTTTCTATGCAATAAAACACGTGCATTTTGATTTTGGTAAGATGCACTTATGGAGGTTTTCTAGATGAGACTTTTATTGTGCTTGTTTCACAGGATTTTTACAGGGTTGTAAATTGCTTATAACCCTTCTGTATTTTCCTACACAAATAATCCCCTTGGTTGATAACCACAAATGGAAATATAATGTGTAGACAAGGATCAAATGTAAACATTACGGCCTTTATTGACAGATTCATTTGTGATAGGAATGCCATTCATATTTTATCTTCTCCGTCCAACTCTTCTGTGATTCCCCAATGAAGAAAACTAACCCCTGAGATATATATATATATATATAATTTGCAGAACCAGATGGGCTATGTTTTCCCAACCTTTAGCGCTTTCCAAAGTGCAATGAGTTAAGACCATAATGTTAAGCATTTTCTCTGTGAAGTTTTATGTGCATATAAAACATTCTGCAAGAATGTGCTCTTGAATACAAAATTTGATCCAATTACAATTTTAATAGCATTAAAAACACACATACAACAGCAGCTTGGAGTCTGTTTTTAGGGGATTTAGTAGTATCCCGTGGGCCTTTGTCGTAGGCTGTAGAGACCTCATGGTGAAATTGCCTTGTGACTTTAGACATTCACCTCCCAAATTCCTAGGCAAATCTGCCAATATTTCAGTCCAATACTGTTTGCTTTCAGAAAGTGCTAATGAACACAGGAAAAACAAATGGATGCGATCATTTCTCCAGCTGTAAGCAATTTCTTATGAGGGTCATCATTAACCGTCTGACAATGAGAAACATCTCTCGCAGCTCAATTGGAAGCGAAATCCTTTGCTTAAGTGCTAACTGCATTACATCTGTCTTGAAAAACCAGAAATGTGTTTTGATGTTTGTTTCTTAGGGGTGGTTTCTACATGCAGCTTTTAAAAACAGTGTGGTTGCGTAAGTTTTGTAGAATGCATTATTCGACTTTAGCATCCTGGGACCCCCAACTTTTCTTGTTTTTCGTAAAGGAACAAGTTTCTAGCCCCTGTGGTTGCAAATATATGCTTGAAATTATTTTTTTCTTCTTTCATTGCTTTTAAAAAAAATGCTCAGAGAACTTTCTGTTGTTGTTATATATTTGATTGTAATAAGGCTCATTTTGATTTTTATACTAATTTCTATAACCATTTTATATAACTATTCTATTACCATCTGTTTTAGCAAAAAAAAAGACAGAAATATTAAAGAATATCTTAATAGATGACACCATTATTACAGTTGGCCGTCCTTATCCATGGATTCTTTATCCATAGATCCAAACATCCATGGCTTGAAAATATTTTATGTGTGTGTGTGTGTGTGTGTGTGTGTATGTATGTATATATATATATATATATATATATATATACACATTCCAATTACCAAAACACAGGCCAGATGTTTGGACTCAACCAGGGAGGTCATGGACCTGAACTGGCAAGATCTGAGCAGAGAAGCCTTGGAGATGTCTCATCCACAGGTTTGCCATGAGTCAATGCAATTAACAACAACATCTTTTTAAAGCTTGGGAATTGACAACTTTCCACCACAAATAGCACACTTTAAAAAAGAAGAAGAAGAAGAAATAGCACTTAAATTTAGTTGTAAACTAATGTCACCTTTTAGTTGTAACCTTGAATATTCAGCCAGGGCATTAAGGAAGACAGCTTCTGCTGCAATGCAGGCTGTAGCAGCTGGGTGTTTGCTGATGTGATATTCAGCGCTATCCATCTTGAGCTGCGTTAAATGTTAAATGGTCATCTATCTTTTACAGCTCCATGCTATATCATTTTAACGGGCTTAAACACACGCACACACACGCACACGCTTCGCCCTGAGCCAGCAGAACGCCTCGTCCACCACTTTATGCAATCATCAAATAAAAAAGTGGTGCAGCGCAGTGAGAGGTCTGGTTAGAAACAGATTGCTCCCACCATTATGTTTTGCACATTGCAAAAAAACCCAACAAAACAAAACACAAAACCCTGCAAATATTTCAGCGGTGAGGTAAAGTGGGAGGATTCCCAAAAACAAAGTGGTTTATTGCCTTCCTCCTTCCACCTTTTTTTCTTTTTCTGTTTTCGTTTTATTTAATTAAGCAATAACAGGAGGACCGGGTGGGGAAGTAGGGAGAGCATCTGTTAAAATCTACTTGCTGCCCTCTCACTTGGGGTGGCTTTGGCTCATTTGTGGAAAAATTACATCCCTTCCCCCTGCCCGATCTGATGGGAACAGGGACCTAAAAACATGTAAGGTCCACCGTTCATAGAGCAAAATGGCTTCAGAAGGTCTCTCTTCATCCTAAAGAAGTCAGGTCAGCTGGCTGTGATTCAGACAACCACAGAGGCCCCATAGATCCTTAGCGTAACAGCAGAAAGGAGCATATAGGAGAGAGCCTCCTGTGAACTGGCGCAGGTCCATAATTTCCAAGGTACTTTTCTCATGTAATATTGCTGAGCCATGTATCCTCTATGCGCCTTTTTTGTGAAAGATGGTTCTCTTTTTTGCACAACTTTTTTTTGTGTATGTTAAATTTTTGATGTGCAAAAGAGCTGTCTGATGCAAACATCTTGCACGAAAAAACATGTGCGGCTTTTTGGAAAGAGTGTTTTTTGCACAAACAATTTACAATTCTCATGTAACAAACCGTTCTATACATAACAGTTTCCCAAGATCCTTTTTGAGTTGTGTGAAAACTGGGTGTAAAGTACACAGAATTCTCACCGCTGTATTGTTCTTCCTGATTGTGTCGGTAAACCCATTTTTCATCCAGGAAACTGAACAATGGTGAAAATTCTTTCCATCCCTAGCCAAGGAGACCTCATTCTTCCTGCCTCTCTTTCCCTTTCTCTCTCTCCTTCCTTCTCCAGCCTCCCTCTTTCACTCCTTCATGGTGGATATTTCAACAACTCAGCCGTGAGGAGTCTCAAGTCTCCCCCACCTCTTCCACCCCATCTCCTGGCGTAATTTGAACCTGTGTCGGAGGGAAGTCCAAAGAGAAAGGAACAAGATTGCATTTGTTATTGGTAAGTTGAACCAGCTGGGATCTGAAGGCTACAGATCCAGTCCCCTGAGAAGGACCACATGTTCTTGCTCTTTCTCGAGCCAAGTTTTTTTCCACAGTGTTTGCTAGCTTAACTCTTGCTCCTGCTACCCACTCCCTTCCTTGACTCACCCCACTCTCCTGGTGTCAATGGCTGTGTTGCTATATAGTGTGGGTCTAGGAGAGTTGATAGACTATATCTCCCTATAGCAGGGGTCGGCAATCTACGGCCCGCGGGCCGCATCCAGCCCGCGGGCCCCTGCTTATCGGCCCCCGCTGACCCCTGCCGCTCGCCACCGCCACCATGTGTTTTGGCCGCTGCACGGCTGTGACTCATCAGGCATTATTACAGTTGGGTGGTCGCTGCTGGGGGCCAGTGTTGAGGTCTCCAGATGTCCATTTGAGAGGTGACACCCTTTCTCCATCACCCAGCAGCCACACCAGTCCCACCTGTCTACCCACTGGGTACACAACCACAACAAGTTAAAGTGGTGTCAAACTGCATTAATTCTGCA